GAGCCCGATGCGGGACTCGATCCCGGGACTCCAGGATCATGACCTGAGCCGAAGGCAGTCGCTTAACCAACTGAGCCACCCAGGCGCCCGCCCCTGGACTTTTTGATATTCTTTGGAGACATTTCAAATTTTCCATCATTTTAATGGAAGTATTTTAAGTTTACAGAATCAAACTTTCTTCAAATGAATTGTAGTCTTCAAGATTTACCCATCTGGTTTAAAGTGGATGCTCTGAAGACATCTAATGGTCCAGAAGAAGCCACTCTGCTGTATTGTAACACAGTTTTCTGAGGATCTAATTTAGGGTTGGTTACACATCTCTACCCCATTTTGTGTTCACTACCACTATTGCTTGTGTAAAGATGAAAGCCACTCACTGCCTTCCTGATTTTGACTCCCTGATATGATACTTATAGTTTGGTCCTGCCCCCACAGCCGCCAGCCCCTAGACCCCTGCTGAGCTAACAAGGATGTGCTGCTCTGAGTGGCAAGGCCCATCCCCGAGAGACCCCGTCTGTCTAGGACAAAACTTCGTCTGGGCCTGGCTGTGGCAATTAGCCAGGCTTGCCCTGTGAATAAGGCTGCCTCTTCAGGAAGAAGGAAGAGTTCTGATCATGACTTGGGGTCTTGAAAACCATTGTCTGATCTGCCAGGGGCAGGGATGACCTTGGAGATGAAGGAGCCTCCCATGGCAGTGACTTTCTGCAGCCTCTGTTCCCTTCAGCCAGGAACCCCTGCCTTGCCCTTCATGACCATGTCCAGGCATGGGCTGAGTATGCTGGGCAGGGCTTAGGAGTGGCTCCTGCCCAGTACCCACCAGTTTATTTGCTTATGTTAGAGGTTAATTGAACCCCCCTTTCCAAAAAAAGACCCCCAAGGGTTCTGGAGTTCTAAGTCCAGTATACAAAGAACATCATTTAGAGACTTTTGGGTTAACTACCAGGAAAACTGAAAATCGTTACAAGTGGCTGTCTCTGGGAGATGAGACTGTGGGCTGGGAGGGGGAGGGGAAGGGGACAGTCACTTTTCCTTAAAAGCCCTTTTGTATTATTTGATTGTTTAACAGTGGGAACAAGAGGGAACACTCTGGGAAAAGGGTGGAAACGATCTTAGGGTCATAGTTGCCCTGAGCATGAGCAAGCAACAAAGGTGCAGATGGAGGATCTGTATCTACAGACTCAAAGAGTCCTCCTAGGGATGGCCCCGCTCTTCCTGGTGGGCCTGGTCTTCCCAATTAAGACAGGAGAATGTGGGGAAAGTATAGTGAGAACAGAGGACTGAGGACCTGGAAGAAGCCAAAGGAAGAGACAAGAGGTTAGAGAGGAGCAAGGAGGCCACAAGTGTATAGGGATTGAAGGAGGAGGAGAGTGGTCAGCTATGCTAGGGCTCCCGTGAGGCTGCAGGGTGGCTGGGCTGCAGTCCCAGGGCTGAGGTCAGGGATGAAGGATACGTTCAAGGTGAAAGGTCTACTCGTGTCCAGGATGTCTTCAAATCTCATCTAGGTTCGCTTTTACTGAGAGTGGATTATACATAATTCTGCATGAAAACAGAGGCTGGGACTACATGACCCAGGAAGAAGACCTTCACAACCCCCAAATTTTATCAATTATTTCTTCCCAGGAAGCTACAAGTATCAAAACAGAGAAAAGGAGCTTTCAAACAAACGTGCACAAATAGGAACAGTTTGAGAAGTCTAGAAGCAAGTTTAAACAAATATCTGGACCATCTCTTCCTTTCCTGACACACCTTACCTTGTGGTGACTCCTCACCTCCCCATTCCTCTTTGGTGTCTCCCCATCTTCATCCTGCTTTTCTCTCACTCCTCCAGGCACACTCCTACTCAAAATCTTTCATACATTCCCCACTGAGAGTGGCTGGGGTCTGAGTTCTTCGGCCTTGGGTTCAGAGCCCAACATCATCAACCTCGATCTTTCCAGCTCCCGTGGTCTACTCGATGCTACTTCAGCCTGACCCTTTGGCTCAGCCATGGCTTCTGGAACTCACTGAGGTATGTGGTATGATTGCGGTCTTGCTCCCTTGTCTCCTTCTGCCTGAAGCTCCACCCTCCTCTTTCTACTCCTTCACTCTCTGTCCGCTGAAGCTCCGCTCCAATTCCAAGAAGGTTTCTTGCCCACCGAGGGCACAGTGACATTTCCTCTCCTTAAACTCCTGTAAGACTTGTTGTACAGAACATGTCTCTTGCCTAGGGTGGGTATTTTCCTACAGGTACAACACCTGTAACCTGTCTGATTTTCCCACTTAGAAGGTCATCAAGCTAGATGTAGTCATTGTTTGCATGGCTCTATATTACTCATGGACTCTTACGAGGTCCCTGTCTGCATAGACAAAGTGTGCAAGCGATTGTTGTCTGTGTATCATTTGGGTGACTCTGTTTTAGGAGGCACAGTGAGAGGCGCAGCTGACTTGAAGCGCACCACGTTGCTGTTTAACCAAGTAAGGGGAAGATGGCCGCTCCAAAAAGTCATGTTTGCAAGGTGCTCCCAAACCAGGGGTAAGTCTCTTAGTGTCAACACCGTCAAAGTTTTCTTTTTCTCTGTTTCACTTTCTGCACATCCCCCCCACACACCCAAAGTACACACAGACACACACACGCACACTGCACTTGGAACCCCTCCCAACTCCCCCAAATACCCTCCAGTGATCTCTCTGGTTTAATCAATCTAGAAATATGACTAGTATCAAAAATATCCCCGTCAGATTGCAACTGACTCTGGGGCTCCATGTGCTGGCTCCCAGCCAACGAGCTGCTATTCATGCTGGCAAGGCAGTTTAAAAAAGGAAAGGCTTCTATAAGCTCAAAAGAATGCGTGGTGACAGTCGAGGCTAAGCACTTTCCGGCTGGGTTCACAGGGGCATCTATTTTGGCGTCCTGGCCTCCCCTCTGTGTCAGGGGGTGGAGAGAGGGAGAGATCAAGTGCAGGGCCCTACCTGGCTGCTGGAACATCAGCATATTCTGTGGAGAAGTGTGCACGGGCAGCGAGCGGGTCCTTTGGACTGAGCTGTGGGTGCGGCTTGGCATGCTGTTGCTGCCCCCAGGGTTGGCAAACCAGAGGTTCTAGTGAGAAATGCAAAGGGGGGGACCATTAGTGCAGACACCCTGGGGCCAGGGGAGGGGGTGCGGAGCAGGGCCGCCAGCCAGAATTCAAGAGGCAGATAGCCCTGAAAAACTCTTTGCTAACTTCTGGAAAAGGGCTTGCAGGCTTGTGCTACCCATATGCATGTTTATAGAGAGGGGGTTTAGATTCCGTTCATTTTACCACCCCCCCTCCAAGCCCCAGGCCTCTCTAAGCCCCAGCTTCATCTGGACAGCTCTCTCCCTCACCATCTCCCAAACTCTTTTTATCCCTTTTGTTGCCTTTGCTTTTCCTACCACTTTTTTTTTTTTTCAGAGATGGAAAGAGTTCTATAAATGTTTGCAACGAAGAGCACAAACTATTTCGGGGCTCATTTGATTTTCTTTTTGAGATTCTTACAACTTACTACAAAGCGAGGGGGAGAAAAAAAGCATCTTTCAGCTGGCAGTGAGCTGCACACTTAGCTTGCGTTTATTATTATGCGGGTGTCCTGGTGGTGACTTCCTCTTGAACTGATGTGGGGCTTCCCACAACGGTCAGAAAGTGGGGCTTTCTCATACACCCTGTGGTGTATGCTCTGGAGAGTAAATCCTGCCCATTTTGCCTGGAGCTGTTTTCCTGTTTTTAAACCAATCCATCACCCCTTAGTTTCTCATGACAATCCAGACCCACTTGTGCCCCTCTAATCCCAGCCCCAACCTGCAGAACCCCACAAAGCTGGGCACACAGATGGAAGGCACTGGGCAGGGTAGGGAAATGGGACTGGTGGGTGAGGAGCCTTGGGACAGAGGTCAGCTCTAAATCACACAGTAAAGACCTCTGGGCAGCCTGGCCTTGAACAGGAGGAGAATGTTCCAGCTCTCTCTCTGATCGCCTCTCTCAGGCTCCTCTTTGGATTCTCCACCATAGCTGCGGACTGTGACAAAGGAGCTTTTTGGCGTGAATAAAAAGGCTAAGAAAGCTCCTTGGATGCTAAAGCTCCTCTGGAACCCAGATCTGGGAGGTGGTGAGGTCTGCAGGGGCAGGTTGAGGAGCAAGGCAAATAAAAGGTCTTGCATTTCCTCCTACAGGCTCCCAGGTGCAGGGCCCCCAAGGTTAAAGGTCAAAGTGGCCAGAGGGCATCCTAAGTAAATCCCCACGAAGCCAGGTGCAGCCATGGCATTGTGCTGTCTCCTAGAGAAAGAGTGCAAACAACTGGTTACCTCTGAGCACAGGGACACCTGTATCTTCGTGCAGCCCTCCTTGGCCTTCTGGCTCACCTTGGGGTCATGCAGGGATAGGTCCCGAAGCCTCTGGCCCTGAGCTTGGCGGCCCACCCTCCCCCGCAGGCACAGAACACACCTGTCTTCCTTGTTTCATGATGGTGGGGTTGGCTGTGGTGTTGCGCTGGGTGGAGCTGACAAATCCACTGGTGCCCAAGAGCCCCAGGCGGGCGGAAGGGACGTTCCGGGAGGGGATCTGGTACTGGCGTGGGTTCCGTCGGCCCATACCGCCGCCCACAGAGCCGGCTGTCGGGAGGGAGTTGGACTGCCCAAAGCCACGGCTGTGAGAGGGGACAGAGAAGCGAGAGACTGTCAGTCACCCTCAGCTCTTCCCACACCCCAGGCCGCCAGCGGGCTGCCTGCCTGGAGTCTGCTTACGTTTTGCCAGTTACGGGGTCTCTCTAGGGGCACCGGCTAGTTGTGTGTCAGGAAAGGGCTAGGATTAAAATGACAGCTAAGAGACATCTGAGAGGCACTATCACATGCACCACGCCGGGACTTTGACACTGATTCTTCAGTCCTCACGACAACCGCATGAAGTAGGCGCTCTACCCCCTTTTACAGCTGGAGGACGAACACAGAGAGCTTCACAATGTTGCAAAGGCCACACGGGCAGCCGGCGACGGTGCTGAAATACGAGCCTAGGAGGCTGACCGGGGTGCCCCCAGTGGTCTCCCATGTGAGCACTCACGTGCCCGTCGCGAAGGCACACAGCACAAGGGCAGCAGAGCCAGGCCCAGTGCGCCTTCTGTCACACCACAGTCTGTTTCTGATGTCTGCCCACGGGGAGAGAGTAGCCTGTGAGCCCCGCTAGGATGGAGGCTCCAGGAGAGAAAAGATGGCGTCTTTACGTAATCAGCGGTCCTGCACGTCCCATGCCTGCGGCAGCTCCCGGCACACTGAATGCAGGCTGAATGAACCAACGAAGGAACGGGCCTCTGCCACCAGGATGCTTCTCCCTGTGGAAGCACTGACCCCGTGTCTGGGGCTCTGACTCCAGCTTGAGAGTAGGGAAGGAGAACGGAGGTGATGATGTTTGCAAGGGCTCTGGACCTAGGACACCGACAGCTCCCCACTCCACAGGCCATCCCTGCTGCAGAGAGACGGGGAGGTCGCGTGCTTCCCCACATGGCCCCAGGGAGGCCGCCAGGGACCCTTGGCATCGCATTGGGACACTGTGCTCCCACTTCTCCAGTGACCTCAGCGCTCAAGAACTCCTCCTTCTCCAACATGCTTCAGGTTCCGGGACGGTACACAGCAGCTAGTAGGGTTTCAGGAACCAGCACATTCCTTCCAAGAAGAGTCAGCTTTAGTCATTCACTGATGTTTAACTTGAAATGCTTTACCTCCAACGGCCACAAGATGGAACAGACTTGCTTTCCCAGCCACACAGGGGAGGTCTGTACCAAGCCCGAACGGGGACTCCAGCAGACCGGGCTGACGTAGTTTAACCAGTTGAAGATGATGGGGGTTGGGGGAGGGTGTGCTGCAAAATAGTCATTTCCTGAGAAAGAGAATTGTGTGTGTGTGGCGGGGATCTAAGCCATTAGGTGATCTCAGAAAATGTTTCTCTTCTCCCCAGAATGCCTACATTTCCTAGGGGGAAAGGGGGTGGGGAAGAGAATTCCACAGGTGAGGTGGCTGCAACTGATTTCTGGGCCTGTGTCTTTCCACTTCTAGGTTTTTTTGGCCAAGGAAAGGGTTCCTGATTCCTGTCAGGGACTCATCGACATGTGGTGAGAAGGACACTAATGGGCTCTAGGTCTGTAGCTCATCCTTTCTCCCCCACCTTCTTCTTTCTATGAACATTAAATTTTTTTGGTTTGAAAGAAGAAATTTGGGCCAGGAGGGGGTAAAAGTAATTTCATATGATCTAGGAGACCTCTTTTGGAGGAAGGACAGTCTGAGATCCATGACAGGTAGAAACAAGGATCAAGTGGTTGGTGTTTTTTTTAAGCTATGAAAACTTGTCCTTTGGTTTTTGAAGTTGGAATATTGGCCACCTGGCAGATGATTCAGTATTCTAAGACTTTTCCTTATTTAGTGCAGATCGCTTTTTTGCTAATTTTCCTTTTTGGTTGGATTTTTTAAAAGTTGTTTCATATGCAAAATACAGTAGTCAATGAGTGATGCTAAAATGATTTGTGCTTCCAGGAAGGCAAGATTATATTCTTGAGCTGATATCATGTGGGCAGAGGATTCTGCTATGGGACACTTAGTCACTAAAGAAACAGAACTCTAGGGACTCCTACAGTTAGGACACATGAACTGGGCTGTGTGTGGCAGGTAGAGCCCAGAACATTTTGGGGTCAGGATAGATAGGGGGTAGAATTTGGCTAGGCCATCTTTCTAATGACTGCGGGACCCTACTGTGACATCCTTAGTTGGTTATTACAAAGCCGGAGTTGTTGAGGGTTACTTAAGACCACTAGGCTTAATGACATAATCATTCTTTCTGGGGAGAGAACAAAGTGACACTAGTAAGTTTTCATTTCTCGTTCTTTTGCTCTGCCCATCTGTATCTTTCTCTGATTTCCTAAATCTAGCCAACTGATTTCATTACCTTGAAGTGCGTGAAGAGGCTGATTAATAAGAACCAATTAATTTGGTATTTGTGATAATTCAAGCAGGGGCTGGGCTGCAGTTACCTTTGCATTATGGGAGAAACAAGCCTTCAAAGCAAATTAATAGCATAAAAAGGTCCCAGAGGTAATACTTATGAGAACAAATGATTTTTCTAGAGTTTAGCAACTTCCAGTTGAACATCCACAACTGAAGATTGAATTCATTCTTATCTAATCAATAAAAACAGGTCCATCAAGATTCCAATATGGCAAGCCTTGGGTAGCCCAATACACACGTTAGTTAATAACACTCTAGAGAGGTCAGGTTTAATGGGGACTCTGATATGGACCAAGGACAAAGCAGAGCCGACAGAGGCAGGGGATGACACTTCTGGGAGAAGCAAAGAGCTTAAAAGTTCTTTCTCTTTATCCTCTAAATTCCTTCTTCCTCTTCGAATGTGCTTCCTGAGGGCCTGGTGTTGCAAGAGGGGTCTGGAACCTCGTCCTCTCACTTGAGAGATGTATGGCTGCCCTTACAAGAAGAGAGAGTGAGCCTGGGAAGGGGACAGTCCCTAGGGCAGGAGGCCTATGAGCCTGCCTTGCCTTTCACCTGGGCCCCCGGGATCCTCAGGGTGCACAGATGGTCCAGCCCATCTCCCCAGGGAAGGCAACCCCAGAGAGCGTGGAGCCAGGGAGCTGTCGTACAGAGTGCCGCTCTGCCTGACTGTGTTTTCTGTGCATCAGCTGGAGACCATGAGAGCTGCCTGGCATGTGTAGTGCATTAAGATCACTGACTCTGCAGCTGGTGCTGGCCCGCCTGGTCCAAATCCTGGATACCCACTGCCTACCAACTCCTCCGTAAATTGGAGTTAATAATAGCAACTCTACCTCATATGGTCGTTGCAAGGATTAAATGTATTAATATTCCTAAAATGCTTGGATACCACTTGGCACACAGAAGTGCTAAATGTTTGTTTAATAAATAACAGTATTATATATGCTGGAAGGTGATAACACTTCAAATTTTCCATTAATCTTTAATGAAAACTTTTCATAAATCCCAACTATCCTTATCTCCCTCAAATGATATAAAACAGTGGTGTTTTAAGGCACACTCCTGCAAATAAATGCTAAAATTGTTAACAACACAGAGCTTCTATATGTGCATTGAGAAGTGAATTCAGAACTTCCCAGGTGCAGGTGAAAAAATTATCTGCTCATGTTTAAAAATGTAAAACGGAAAGTTGATTTTTCATGATGTTTGTACCATCATTCTTTTGTCACCCCCCAACTGCCTGTCACTGCTGAAGGCTTCACCCCACACCCCCCTAAATTCCTCCCCTGGATTGTCGCTGTAATTCACCTTTAATATGCAATTGGATTCCTCCATTTAAAACCAGATTAAAGTAATGGGTTCTAAAGTACAACGAGGCTTATTTTTAACCGCATCCAAGAAGCTGAAGTACTATGAAAACTCAAGAATGGTGCTGCTCCACTCTGAGATTGCAGCTCAGACCAAAATAGACCAGCACTGGGCTCTTCACCCTGCCACCGACTATAATTAGCTAGTCTGCAGCGAGAAGGGAGAAAGAAATGACACTACCTCGTAAGGTGCTGCTAGAACAACCCATTTTTGTCCCTTCAGGGCCCCCTTTTGTGGACAAACCACAAAGTGTTTTGCGGGCATTCTTTCAATCATACCCATCTCCCCTTGATGCCCATCTGGACTAATGCCATCATTTTGATCATGTAAAATGCGTTACAAAAGATCATGTGCAGTTCTTTTTCTGGGAACATTTTCTCTCTATAGCGTTTTCCTGACTCCATCTGTTTAAGGAGTGTGATCTGGAACTCCCCACAGGGCATCCTTGTGCACAAGGAATAGTGCTCCGCCACAGTCCTGCCCAGGAACCCAGGCAGGCCGCGGTGCACCAGGGAACCACCGTGCATTAAGAAGAATGAAATCCCAACATACTTTCTTTGCTGTCGATATCCTGATATGTCTAGAAGGGTTTTCCGAGGGAAAGACCGAAAGAGCTTCTGCACCTGCTGTTTCCATGACAACAATCTTTTTTTCTGAGTCTCTGTAAATGCCTGCAAAAACAAACAGGACTTTTTAATGGGTGGCGCAGCCTGGCATTAGAGGGAGGAACATGCAGTTAATGGGGGGGGGTGCGGACATCAGGGTCTCTGCAGCTGCCTTTTCTTCACCTGCTTCCCACCTGGTCCAAACAGCAGTCAGTTTCACTTGGGAGCCACCTGTACCGACAATTGAAGTTCTTTGACATTGGAGGTGCCTGGGAAAGTACGTGCATTAAGCTTTTGACAACGCTTGTTTTTGGTTGCATTTCTGGCAGATCCGTACTCACCTTCCCCTTCTTCCTGACTCTACTCTGGGCTCTCTAGATTAACCAGGAATGAATTGCAAAAATGGATTGTTGAATATTCTGGCTTTTGCAGGCCCCCCTGCATTTTCGTAATCAATGGAAATGCTAAACCACTCCAAAAATCAATCTGCTTGATGGCACGTGGTCACCCTGGAGTGGTCTGCAGGCTTTCAAAAAATGGAGTATAGTCTCTGCTATACTACACTACACTACACTATACTATACTATAGGTCCGGATTGGTACCCTGGGTTTTTTGTAGGGCATGGGGCTTTGCTGAGAAATCTCCAGTTAAGGGGCCCCGTTCCCTACAAAAACCCCAGTGCACCAATCCAGACCTAAACTTTGCCTAAAGTTTAGGAAAACTAGTAGATCTGATACCTTTTCAAATCTTTTTCAGTAAAATTGGCATTGAGGGGTGTTTTGCCTGCTTCGTAACACACTGTAATCTATATCACATGTTCTTTTGTGTACACAGAAGCCCGAGGAAGGACTTTACAGGGGTTATGAGTCCCCAAGGCAGAGACGCTCAAATCTGTGATATAGAATCCCTCAAGAAGACTATTAAATGCAGATTCCCAGGTCCCTTTTAATACATCTGGACAGGAGTCTAGAGGATGTTTGCAGCAAGTGCCCTATAATTCCGTTGCAAATGGAACATGGACGTGTGGCGTTCTAGATGGTCTGAGGACCCTCCATGCAATATAGGAATGCCCTATCAGGTGCCTAAAACCAAGGTCCACAAGCTGTGGGAGGGCCCGCAGATTTGACTGATCAGCAGTAACAGTGATGGAGATAACATACCCATATAGTTTTGTCAATAAGACATGAAATCCTTTAAGTAGCAATAAACTATTACTTAGAGTAACAGACTATATGGCTCTTTCCCATAAAGGAAACAGATTCCTTAAACAGAGAAAACATGACAGTTTAATTTTCTCCCGATGACATTTAATCTTTAAGGACCTAAACACAGGAGAGCTATGTGAACAAAAGCAAAAAGATGTTAGTTATATTGTGAAAAAATTACTGACTTGCAAACCCCTTCCTCCTAGATGACCTTAGCCAGACGCCTTTAAGGATATTCATCAAGGAGGACTGCCCAACCAAGGGACTCCATGCCTCCTTAAAGAGGTACAGACACTGCACAAGGTACATGGTGGGATGGTCTCATGGTTACAAGGTGAGGACATGGTTCTACTTTGTGGTCCCTTCTCATTTGTTGGCAATGCTTGGTGAGTGTCCAATTATACACGAATGCCTCTGAAAGACTGAAAGGCAAGCATTTCTGCTGGATGAATAAAGAAAGGGACAGACAGAGTCTGCTTTTGACTGGCTGCTTCTGCCAAAGTCTGAGTGAGAACACAGGATACAGGGGCACTGATCTAGATGACTTGGGGAGGAGAGTCTAGCCCAGTTGGTCGGAGGCTCTGGATGGATATGGGCAGGGCTTGAATCCCTTCACATCCTTATGCAAGTTCCTTTACCTGACACTCAGTTCCTTCTAAAAACCTTCTAAAGGGAGACTATTATCTTCCTCCAAGAGATGTCGTAAGGGTTAAATGAGATAACACATGAAATGCACAAGAATACTTAGGACATGCCTGGCTCTTAGTAACGGTTCAATAACTGCGGCTCATATCTCAACCCAGGTTTTTGTGGTTGCACAGACCAGCCCTTTGGTGGTGGTATATGAGTGTTTGTCACATTTGGCATTCCAACAATCACCTTTAGCCCCAACAAATGACTCAAAACTACAATACCAAGCTGGTCTGGAGCCAGCCTGAAGGACAGCTGGCCTGAGTTTCCAAGTGACAAAAGAGGAAATGGCTCACTTTATAGACATTCATTCAGAGTGCTTCCAAAGGACACCAGTTCATACATGACATCTCCCGTATGGCCAAGAACATCCAAGAAGATGGAAGTGTTTATACCCCACCACCACCCAGAGAAGTGAGCTCATTCACTCAATACTGGGCAGCAGGCTCATTTCGTCCCAGGCTGCAGAAAGGATTAAGCCCCTTAGCCATGCTGAGTGAGTGTGGTGGCCACTCCTCAGTCCTGGAGGCTGCAGCTGGGAGGCCTGGAGAGGCGCTAGGTCATGGCTGGCAATGAGGGATTTCCAAAAGCTAGTCTCTGTGTGTATCTGCAAAGTAGCCCTCCACTGTGGAAGCTCTGCTACCAGCTGGGATTGGCTGACCCCTCATGTCAGCCATTCCACTGGCAGCTCTGGGTTGGGCTGGTAGCAGCTTTCTCAGGGACTGGAGGGGAAGGAAGCTTCCATACTACAGACTGACACAGCCAGTCAGCCTATTCTGAGTCCTCTGTCCCTGTCAGGGCCAATCCAATGAGTCTGTCTGGAGGAAAATGGCTAGGATGCGCCCTACAGCCTTCATGGCTGGATTAAAGGGCTCATAAAGGGGCAAGAGCTCATCTCCACAGAGCCTCCTTAAGATGGCGAGGAGGCAAGATGCCAGGGATTATAATCCAGGAGATGAAATCCAGAACTTTCCTGTCCCCCCTTCTGTTACTCTAGGGAGTTGGTCCCTTTGTCCCTGGGGAGGAAGGAAGGTGTCTAGGTTTGGTCAACCCCCTGCCATCCAGTCAGCTAAGGAATGGCATATTTGGGTTGTGAAAGGGAGTCCTGTTTCATGGAGCCCAGGTGAAATTCAGCCAGGATAGAGACTGCTGTGCCTAAATGGAGCCTCACAGAGAGGGTGTCTGCTGCCCACATAGAATAACCTGAGCCTATGGAAAATTAGTCAGACACATTTCCTCTTTCTTGAACTAAAATAATAATAAAAGGTCTTGCACAACATTTTCCCTTCCAAGGCAGAGTGCAGGCCCCTTTTTCCTGACATGAATTTAGGCAAGCAGACATGGCATGAGCCCCTTTCTGCCCAGGACTCTCATCAGCCAGAGGCCCCTCTACTGCAGTCGGACACAGAGCCCTCCAAACACTGTTCTCTCTGCCTGGAGCACTCCCACCTCCTTATGCAGTGAGTTCTTTACCACCAAGACTCCAGCTTGCCTTTTGGGCCCAGCTTGGGAGGCAGTTCCTCTAGGGAAAAGCCATTTCCGGTTCTGGGTTTGGTGGCCTTGCTCCTCATCTGGGCTCCGTGGGATGCCAGCACAGCCTTATCCTCACGTGTGTGATCACCTGGTTTCCTTTAGTCTTCCCCACCGCCCTCACACCATAAGCTACCTAGCCAGGGACAGGGCCTAGACGCTTAATAAAGATCCATGGAATGAACGAGTTCTAAAATTCTTTAATGTGTCCTTGCCTTCTCTTCTTCCTGGTGCTTTTCGCTGGCTGAAACACGTGCAGTGTCAGGATTGAAAACAGCGAAGGGTGAGTTGGGGGTTGGGGAGAGGGACACACGAGAATTTGCACTGCTGAGAGGGAACAGCAAAAAGGAGAGTTTAGGGGATTGTGGGGCAGTGACTGGGAAGGAAACCCAGAAGGAGACCATGCTCGTGAGCGGTGGGTAGTCAGACCGTGGAAGGGTGGAGGGCCCAGTGAACTGGCCTTGGACAGATGTGCCTGTGTGGCAACTGGCGGGTGGGGACAGCGTGAGTGGGGTGGTGGGTGAGGGGGCCAGACCTCTGCGCTGGGTGTCTCCCTTCACTGGGGCCCACTGCCCTTCTGGCACTCTGGAGGCCAACCCAGCAAAGGTGAGCAGACTTGGGGGCCTTTACCATCTTAGTCTAACTTTAAAATCCCACAAAATGACCTCTGCGTTGTTAAGCTTCTTTAAAGCCTACACTGTGACTCTTGTCTCTGTGACTCTTCGGAAGGGGTGCTCCCAAGAAGCCACTGGGGTCTTGGGTCTGAGGCACAACCTTCTGTCCTCCCATGCACCTCAGGGCAGGTGGCTGCCCCAGCCAGCTGCACCCAGGACCTGCCCCGCTCCGTCAGGGAGACCGCGCTCACACGGAGTCTAATGGGGCACAGCTCCAGCCTGCCTCAGTCCTTCTTCAAAAGGATATGTGGCTCAACATAATTCCTATAAAAATCACAAATCAAACCACATGGAACATAAACACAAACACTTCTTTTGCACACTCTCCGACCCTCCCTCAAGTTTCCCTGAGCCAAAAGGCAAAATGTTTACAGAAAATTTTATAAAGACTCGAAAACCTGCCAAGGCAAGGTGGCAGGGCTGGACATTCACCAGCTCAGGCTTGGTCACTAAGATTCTTCTAGAGCCAGAAGTTTCTCTCAGGCACTGACCCTCACATTAGAGCTCAGTCTCGATGAATCTCTAGACACCAAAGTATTACAGGCTGTGCTTAGGTTTGATGCCATCATAGCTGAGTTCTGCCTGAGCTATTATTAATGCCTGTCTACTCTTCAAAAACAAGTTGTTGGAGACCCAAATGATCACATCATGTAAACTCTGAGAACCATTTCTAAGCAATGAGAAAAACAGTTTTGTGAAACCCATTACTACTCACCTCATGAATTAGACACTTGTCTATGAGCTGTAAATAGGAACTTATATTTTCCTCATCAGGTCTGGAGACCAAGAGCTGTGTGCACACTGTGAATTGAAAAAAAAAAGAAAAAAAAAGAAAAGATGAATTAGAAACATGTATACCCATTCTAACCTCTGAGATCTGCCCCTGATTTCCTTTCAGGACCAATATTTTGAGATACGTGTGCCTGTGCCTTTACGTAAGGTTCACAAAAAAGGCCAGGAGACTCCTCATTCCACTGAAGTCAAAGGCTTGGTCACCACGGGAGCCCTCGCCTCGAGAAGCCCCTTCAGTTAATTCCAGGCATACCATTCTATATTAAGCCTTCTGCAATCCAGCCCGAGACAGACACTCTAGGAGAAGAAGAATGCGGCCATGTCCTGAGCCCTATCTCTGAAAGAGGCTCCTTTTGAGAAGGGAGTTCAAAGGCATCAAAGACCATCAATGTTATCAGAGAGCATCTCCATAATTTAATGAATGAACTGTGCACCTCATTTGGAGGCATGAGGCTCTGGAACATCTTTTAGGACATGAGGTGTGTGGGCACGCACATGAGCAGGAAGCCTGCTACTCAGTCACTGGAGGGTTATTTTCTCAAAGTGATAACACACTTATACACACGTAGGTCCACCCACACACTCAAGTAACTGAAGTAATAAAGACAAAGCAGGGTCAGTCTGCGGGCAGAGCACACACACCCACTGGCCTTCCCACGGCCACGCTAGCATGGCCCATGCTTCTCTCGTCCTGGAGGCTCTGATGCTCTGATCTTGATGGGGGTGTTTAGAAGGCCATGGTGGAGGTGGTTGGACAGAAGATGTCAATTAGAAGAGAAAATGCCTTGCACTCAAGTAGACCATGCTTGAAACCTGGGCATCATGATTCCTTTCTCCCCCTAATCCTGCATTAACCAGTCTGTTGCAGAATTCCATTTATACTCTGTCTTTGCACAGAGACTCCCAGTATAGCATTGTTCGTATTGACAAAAGCTCGAAAAACACCTCCATGTCCATTCACTGGGGCCCTGTCGAATTATGCTTTAAGCATACAGTGGAACGGCATGCAACCTTGAAAAAAGAAATTGGGTAGTGATATTGTATTGATAGAAATATTAAAAGTATACAATGTAGAAAAAACAAGCTGCAGAAAAACATGTAAACAACACCTGTTTGTGTGTAAAAAGGATACTCATGTGCTTGTATATGACTATTAGGAAGTTTCTGAAGGGACAGTCCAAACCTGTTTAGAGAGGTCACCTGTGGGGAGGAAGATGGTGGTGCTTGGCGGACAGGTTATTTTTTACTTCCATCATTTTGTTTAGTTTTGATTTTTTATGTTGAGCATGAATTGATTTTATAATTTGTTTGAAAGTAGCTAAAGTTTAAAAAGAAGCCATGCCAGAGGAGCTTGGGTCTCCTGAGGACTGAGCCCATCATGGATCACACTCAGACATGCACTTCTACAGGGTCATCCGTTGTAATCCCACACAGCTAAGAGCCCACTCAGGGGTGGGAGGTCAGGGGGTGGAGAGGGCTCAGAGGTGAGTGGGGGGAGACCAAGGACCCACCCTGGCCATCAAGCTACTGGCATCTCTGCTCAAAGGGATGTTACAAGTCATCTCCTCTGAGCCAGATTTCTATGGATGGAAGTCTTTTTTAGGACGTGTACACACAGGGCATTTCTCACTGCACCTGTAAGACTCAGGTGTCCATTTCTTTTGGTAAAAACTTGGTTCTTTAAAATGATTGGACGATAGGGGTAGACGAACCATGAGAGACGATGGACTCTGAAAAACAAACTGAGGGTTCTAGAGGGGAGGGGGG